AAACACCAACAACATCTTTGTGCGTCAGTGGTGCTCTGAGGATGTTGTAATACCTAGAGACGATTCTGATAGTCGTGATTGGACTGTATTAACAGCATCAAAAGATGGGGTTTCTAAGCATCCCAACAGTGCACTCACACAAAATTCCCACAGCGCCAAAGTTACAAATTCTGCTGTGAACATATTTTCAGGGGTTTTAGGGACTTCTTGAGGCTTAGTCATACATAGGCACACTCTGAGTCAATGGATCCCAGATCAAAATGTCCCACTGAAGCTCTGTATCAAGTCTTCATTCGGGAAGCAAGTCAGACTCCCAGAACCTCAGTCTGAACAACTGGCATTACTTTAGAAGAAAAGCAGAAGTATGCTTAATGGTTTTGATTTTTGAAAGAAAGCAAAGTTTTTATAACTCCCTACTCATTTTCAAATCTATGTATATGTTAATTTAAATATAATAAGCATGCCTTTATTCAGATACTAATAAGTCAAGGTATTATTCTGAGTAAGTTATCTGATGTCAGCAAAGACAGATGAGTCGTTTATTTTTTTTCTAGTAAGTCTCTAAAGGGTCATTTAATTTTAAGAGATGGTTATATTATATACTGGAAAGTTTTCTGATAAACATTCAGGTTCACACAGTTCCACCAGGATTCAGTGAAATCCTGCAGTCCCTCCCTTATTTTATCACACTTATTCAGAATACAAATGCGTGGGGAATGACTCATTACTTGCCAATTAAGTGATCTTTGTTCTATTAATCCGCCAATGAAGCAACATTGTAACCATTGTCTCATTATAGCAGTAAAAACAAGCCTGGATGAGGGCATGAAGCTCAGAGGCGGACAGCTGTGTTATTAACTTTCACAGTAACCTCACTAATTTGGAATTTACAAAACTTTCTACTGTGGTTTGTGGATTCATTAAGAAGGCTGATGACGTCATCCAGCGTTCTATGTTTAGAAGCATGTCTTACCAGACAGTAATGTGCTATGACTTCAAAAGTACCCTATTAAATCGCCCTGTTCCTGACTTATTATTCTGAGACTGAAAGGTAAACAGGTTTAAGAAAACTGCACCCCGAGTCACTGACGAGTCTACAGTCTCCATGATTACTGAGCTACTTAGATGACAACTCTTAGGCGTTTAACTTGGGTGCACTTGGGCGTTTCTGCATGTACATGCATCATGTGCGTGTATCTGTAAGCGCGCGTGCACATATGGTACGCGAGCGTGTGGAGGGTGGGAGTCACTGTTGGGTGTCTTCCTCAATTGATCTCCACCTTAAGTTTATAGACAGGGACTCACTCACATTGCACCTTGAGCTTATGGATGTAGCTGGGCTTGCTGGAAAATGGGCTCTAGGGATCCTCATGTTGGGGTTGCAGCTGCATCGGAGTACATTCGGTTATTTCGTGTTAACCCTCGGATCCAACGTCGGCCCGTGTGCTCGCACTTGATTGACTAGCCCCTGTATATATTCTTTGATTGAACACGAAGACATATCATGTTCTCCTTTTCCCCTCTTCATATTAAGCTTGAAGTCCTAGGAATTATTATGATAATTACTGCTAAATGTCCACTCATCACTTTTAGTCTTTGAGGAATGAATGGGGCTCACTGGGACATTCAGAGATATTCCGTCCATTGTGTGATTGATTCAACAAGTCTTCCTTTGTTCTAGGCTATGGGCTAGGAGCTTGAGCACACAAAGAATGAATCAAATAATGACTCTCTCCTTAGCTACTCATCCACTTGGAGTGGGGAGTCAAGCAGACAATTCTCTAGACATTTGTCAAGCACTTGTTAAGTTGTAAGCACAGGCTTAGGCCCTGCAAAGCTGTCTGGGAAATCCAATGAGCCTAACTCCTACCTTCCCAGTCATGCTGAGTAAAGGCTCTGTGGGGGATCTGACAATGAAATAGTAGGATGAAGGCCATTCCTGCCAAGGAAACATGAACAAGAAGCTATCAGGACACCCACTGTTTGCTCCAGGCACTGATAGGCTTTCTCTCCCAGCATCCACCAATGAAATAACTTTAATCGGCTATATACTTGTGTAACTGACTGAGTATGAGTAGAATTCTGTTTGTATTAGACTGAATTGTTGGAGATTAGTCACTATAAGTTCTCAAGTAGGGCTAAAGAGGATCAAAGAGGTAGTATTTATGGAATATAAAGAACAAATAGGGAGGCAGAAACTGTCGAGCCCTCACTTCTGCATGTGTGCTTATTAGTAAGTCTCCTCAAGAGGCTTTTCTGCCCACGGTGCTAAATTTGTTAGCCTTCTACAGGCTAGATGTGTGTGCATTCCATTTTACACTTTCCTTTATACTATCTGTAGATGTGTGCTTGAGAACCTTTTCATTTACCTGAAAATATTCGTAGAAAATATTCGTGTTCCTGTCTGTCTGATTCCTTCTCATGACAAATCCCAGCATGATTTGAGCATTGATGACTCCATGTCTCAGATTCAGAGAAGGACCTGCCCCAGGTCTGGTAGATGACACTGCCTTAGTGTTCTGACCCATGCTGAGGAGGGGTTGTTCATGGTCACTGTCTGCCAGAACTATTGGGAGTGCCGCTTCCTGTCTGAGAAGTTGCTAAGCGACTAAAGAAAGAGAGCGACAGGCAACAGATTTGTTTTAAAAATTGTGCTAAAGAGAGATTTCCAGATTGCAATGCTACAATTGGTATTATTCTTTGTGGAGAAAGGGTGGAAAGCTATTAAAACTAAAACGAATGTGAATTTCCTGTAAAAGGCTGTGCTTATGGCCTGGAAGAGCTAGCTTTCTATGGGAAGAGCAGAAAAAGCCATGATGAAGACATGGATCCTGTTATGCCTAAAGCCAGAACTTAGAATGCTTTCATTTACTTAAGCTGGCTTGAGGTTGGTTTTATTAACTAGCAATGAAAAGAGTCCTGGCTTAGAATATGACTATGCACTCTTGCAATGAAAGTTTTTCATGGGACATTTAGAGGTCAGTATATTAGAAGCATGATGGAGGTGGTAGAAATTTGATTTGTAAGAAAAGGTTTAATTATGGCATTGGAGTTTTGAACCATAGAACACACGTGTTTCTGTTTTCTCAAGGAAGAGAAACAGTCTCTCATGAGTTCACAGCTCCATGGAGGAGTCAGAATCATACTCCCGAATGCTATGAAGACAGGTATTCGGCTTGGTGAGGACTCAGAGTGAAGGCTAGTTTCAACAAGCACCACAGCTGTAGTGGGACGACAGGGAGACAGACAGAGAGTCGAGTTGTGTTTGCATCATATCACTGCCTTCTGTCAGGCACAGTAGCACAAAGCCTGCATGTGTCAGTTTTCATCATGAATGACCTGATCTCCACTGTATCTCTGTGCCTAAAAATGAGGAATTATTTCTCTAGGAACTGGGAGTTGAATGAATATCACAGACTCTTTATAGGACCAATTGTTCTCTAAAGAGAGGTTCCGGAAGGTCTCCATGAAATCAAAGACCGTGTTTTTCTAATAGTAAGTAGAACACCCCTTCCTCTTCCTACCATAGAGCAGCAGTTAGCACTTGTCACCTGTTATTGCTGGCTCTGCAGCTGGCAGTATTTGCTTCCTGTAAAGTACACGCGTGCCAGTTTACTTACATCTCACGGGTTCCATCCTCAGATGTAAAGATATGCAAATGACCTTGTTTTTATTAACGAGTCAGGAGACAATTATTATACTTTGAGTTGTAGTTGGCACTAAGCGCATACATTTCCTATTTTGCATGTCAACCACCCTGAGAGGTTGGTATTGTTGTCACCTTTTTGAGGTTGGGAGACTTGTGGATTAGACATGAAGACATCACAGCACCTGATTAAAATTATACCACAGTGATATAGTAACAAAACAACATAGTAAAGGCACAAAAATAGATATGGGGACAGGTGGAACAGAACAAAGGATCCAGAAACAAGTCCACAGAACTATGATTACTGAATTTTTGAGGAAGGTATCAAAATAACATATACAACCTAGTCAATAAAAGGTGCTGCCAAAATTGGATATCTAACCGAAGAAGGGTAGAGATAGATCCACAGCTTCCACCTTTCCCAACATCAGTTTAAACTGGATCAAAATGCTAGAACTTTTCTAGAGCAGCCGTTCTCGACCTGCTGGGTTACAGCCCCTTCGCGGGGTCACCTAATAGCATTCGATATTTCCATAAAGCTTCATAACAGTAGCAGAATTGCAGCTATGAAGTAGTAACGGAAGTAAATTTATGGTTGGGGGGTCACCATGACAAAGACTGAATCAGTGAGACATTCACCAGCCAAAGGACGGGCAATGAAAATGTGGCACAGATATACAGTGTAGTAGAGTGTTTCAGAATTGGGAAGGTTGAGAACCGCTGCTCTAGAGAAAAACAGAGAACGCACTCCAAGATGCGCGCGCACACACACACACACACACACACACACACACACACACACACACACACATTTTTGCAAGAACGTTTTCGTTGTTGTTGTTTTCTATATTTGTTGTTTTTTCAAGACAGAGTTTCTCTGTATAGCCTTGGCTGTCCTGGACTTACTTTGTAGACCAGGCTGGCCTCGAACTCACAGGGAGAGATTAGCCTGCCTCTGCCTCCCCAAGTGCTGGGTTATAGGCATGGACCACCATGCCTGGCTCTTGCAAGAAGTTTTTTAATACAATTCTGGTAGCACAGAAAATAGTCCCAATAATTAGCAAGTAAAACTCCTTGAAATTAAAAACATGTACAATAAATGAAGCTGAAAGAACAGACTGTCTCCAGAATGGGGGAAAAGCTTTGGCAGCTATGCTTCAGAGTTAATATCTGAAATATGTCAAGAATTGCCATGTTAAACACGCCCTCCCTAAATCTGCCAGTCAACAAATGAGCTAATGAAATGAATGGACAGATCTCAATAAAAGAAACATAATTGACCAATAAGTTCATAGAAAGTGTTTTGAGACCTTTAGCCACCAGAGAAATGTATATTAAGATCACTCTGAGAGTGCTCGTGTCAGCTGCATATGTTCTAAAACTGGGACAATATGAAGAAGATTAGCATGGCCCCTAAGCAAGGAGGACATGCAAATTCATGAAGTGTTTCTACTGAAAATCTACTGTGATGTTGCATCTCCCCCTTAGTCAGAATGTCTGTCATGAGGGACAAGTGCAAACTGCTGCAGCCACATGGAGATGAGTTTTCTCAGAAGATAGAAGTACAGCTTCCATAGACGCAAGTATGCTACCCCTGGGCATGCACTCAAAGGAATCTATAGTCCACGCAGAGAGTCACACACCCCTGTTCACTGCTGCGTTATTGACAATAGCAAGGACTGAATCAGTGAGACATTCACCAGCAAAAGGATGGGCAACGAGAATGTGGTACATATACACAGTGGGATCTTATTCAAATGCAAGACAAATAGACCATAAAATCTTTAGGAAAATGGATGCTTCTGTATTATAGTACAGCTAAACAGGGTACCATAGATTCAGAAGGACAAAAACGGCATGTTTCTTTCATATGTAGATTCTAGCTTGTACTATTTATATGTGTATAAATGGGGTTTAGTGTGGGTATAGGTTATAAAGCTAGGTAGGAGACTAGAAGAAGGGAGAAAAGAGGTGTTGAGGAAGGAAGGAAGATATAGGACACAAGAGACATGAAAAGCAGACAGGAAGCCATGGGGTATGCAGAGGGGTACAAGGGAAGGAGTCAGAGGGGTAGAAAAGAAGGGTGAAGAATCAACAAAAGACATTTTGTTTGAAAATTTCACAATGAAACTTAATAATGTGTATGTTCCTTAGAAGTTATTAACATAAAAATTCAAAAATAAGAAAAGAAATTAATTAAATAGATTAAAGGACAATAAATATACCAAAATGAGAAAATAGTCATCAAAAAACAAAACAAAACAAAACAAAACAAATAATTAGTCAAAATAACCAAATGAAAGAGAAAAGTCAAAGTAAAAAAACTTAGAGATGAAAAAAGTTGAGATTCCTGAAATACAGAAAATCATTGCAGGATATGTTGAAGATGAATTTTTTTAAAACAACTAGATAATCTAGGAGAAATGAACAAATTCTCAGGCACATATGACCGACCAAAAATAAAACCAATGAAATTAGAGCAGCAAGTAGAAAGTCTACCAGGAAAGAGAGGTCCAGGACCAGGTGGACTCACTACGGAGTTCTACCAAAGGCGCAAAGAAGAGCTGACGACCATGCTTCTCCAACTATTCCATAAAATACGAAGGGAAGGAATACCAAAATCATTCCACAGGGGAGAAGATATTACGTCATGTCCACACTGGTTTTCATCCCAGGAATGCAAGTCAAGCTAACACACTGAAATCAATAAATAATCCTGTAAATAAACAGACAATGGTAGAGCCCACACTGCCATCTCAACCGACGCAAGAACAGCCTTAGATAAAACCTGCATCACTAAGTGGGCAACAACCTCCGCAGCCAATGAAGTGAAATTTCTAGTTACACATTCAGGAGGTTTCACCTGACAGTGAGTTGAGTCTAATATAGAGGAAATTCAGAACATGGCTGCTCTGGCAAGAGATCATATCCAAAGACCTTTTAGGTCTGTGTGACCCACCTGGAATACAGACTCATCTTTAATCCCAGGAGACAGAGGCAAGCAGATCTCTGAGTTCCAGAGTAACCTAATACAGAGCAAGTGCCGAGTAGAGAAGAGCATAGGTCCTGGTGTGATGGCACACACCTTTAATTCCAGCACTCAGGAGATGGAGGCATGCAGATATCTGAGTTTTAGTCAGCTCTGTTCAGGCAGTTTGGTTGAATGTCAGTGAGTTGAGAGGCAGTACAGTGGAGTTGAGTTCCTAGCAGATCAGTTTGTGGAATTCAGAGATAGTTTTTTATCATGGGAGTTTTACAGACACAGGTTAAAGAGAGAACAAACTAGACACAGGTGAAGACAGAAAAAAAAATGAGGATGAGAAGAGTTACTTTGAGGCCAAGCAGAGCATTTTGGTGAGAAACTCAGAGAAGCCAGATTGAATCAGTCAGCTGAGAGAGGCGTTTGATCCAGAACAACTGAGTTGAACCAGCAGCCCAGAGCTCTAGAAAGAACTAGAAAGGGTAAGCTTGTGCAGCAGTTAAGTCTCTGAGGCTGAAAGTGTTCCAGGCCTAGATTAAATTGTATGAAGGCTAGAAGGCTCTAGGACTAGGCCTAGGTTAGCAGAGGGAGGCAGTAAGACTCCATGATGACAATTACATCAGAGAAATAAAAGTTACTTTTATAGTCTAATGTGGCAGCCTGGCCTAGCTACAGGTGTCCATTGTGAAAGCTGTCTTTTGTCAATAGACTGTGAAGACTCCTGTAAATAAAATGCTTAGTCCTACAAGACCCTGTCACTCTGGCTTTCAGTGATAAACCCAGAGGTCAATGTTTGACTTGGAATCAATGATGTACAGAGAACACACATACTTCCTGCCTGTAAAGATTTTTTTTTTCAAGGAAAATTTAGTAAAACTATACACATTTCATTCATCAATGTTGCACGATCATATACAAGTTCAAACAAGCCCAGAGGACATACTGTTAATGAATATGCACAAGAGTATGAGGGGCAATGTTTTGTGGCGAGCACTAATGGTGGCTGTAGAAGGAAGAAGGCATCTAAACGCAATGCGCTTTCCACGCATTTGAAGCACCAGGATTTCTTTGTCTAGAATATATACTCACAAAGGGAATCTATTGGTGTTACAGCTCAGAGATATTTTTGCCGTACTGTTTATTTTTCTTAAAACAATAATTGTTACGGGGTTGGTCTTTGGAAGGAAATTAGTGACTAAGCCTTCTTAGATAACATGGGGGCCATCTCTTCAGAGAGACTAATCCTGTTGTTACTGTGTTTTTTGTTTTTTTTGTTTTTTGTTTTGGAAGGTGAGATGTGTTTCAAAGACTAAGTTCATACGCAATGATCTTTAGGCTTTCAAAACTTGATGCAGCTAGTAGATATGGTGAAAATGTAAACAATTCAAGGCGTAAGTATGATTAAATAACCTGAATCTTTCTAACATCTTAATATTAGCTTAATTCTTTATAGATAACATCTTAAAGAATGGTTATGTCACTTTAGATTTAAGCAGATAATAGAAGTGTGACAAAATTTAAAAATTATTCTAAGATCATGTATAGCAATAGAGGAGAACTAGCTTTTAGATACGTTTCAAAGTGACACAATAAAGTGGAAATTAAGTAATTCACGAGAATTCCATTGTAGGGATTAAAAACAGGGTTTTCATTCTTTCCACTGTTTGAAGCATTTAACGAATAACGATCAGAAATTATATGCTCCTGCCTGCTAACAGAGTTCATCATCATTAAAAGAAACTATGATTTAAGTATCAAAGGTCTGGCCTTTCCACATTCGTCTTTAGCAGACTTTCCTGCTTTCGTTCTTTATTGCGTATGCCAGATGTTGTCTGCTTGTGTAAGCTGCACTGGCATCATAATGCTTTACAGTAAAAAATTCTTGGCACAACCTCTTTCCTTTCTTGTACATGAGAGCTCTTGGGAGAAATAACGCAAGTGAATTTCAGCAGTGGATAATTCTGCAAGATTTTCTACTCAATGATTTTTTTTTTATACAGATTTCCCTCTTTACCCCATGCTTACAGAGATTATGACTAAAACATTGTTTTAAAAACTTCAATCCCTATATAACAGGCCACAAGAACATTACGAGTTCAAGGCATTTCAAAGTGCTTCCATTAATCAGGAAGCTATTAGAACGCTTTGAACATTCACTGCTTAGTTTCCTAATGACTTTGGTTTAAAATCTTAAGCAAGATTTGCTTCTGCCTTGAAAGTTCACACAGATGTTAAGAAGAGGATTGGCTTGGGCATATGAAGGCCAGAGATGGCAGGATATCTTACACCATTCACAGGAATGTCTTGGGTTGATGACAATGCAGCAAATAGGTATTTCCCCTGGTGTCTAGGTCTGTGTTCGTCTAAGATGGTATATTATCTTAACGTGGTCTTGAAGTTCCCAAGTTGAGAGAATAAGCAACTGTGACACAACAGCTTGGTGCATGGACTGCTCTTTCCCTCTTCCCCACTTCACATGTGTTTATCCTGTTTCATTTTTTATGCTGCGGAATATTACCGAACAAGATCCATCTCTCAGGAACCACAATGCTGTCTGCTATGCCATTTATTCCTATAGTTTCAACATTGACACAACGTGAATATCCAAAACAGACAGTATTCAAATCCTCAGCAGCGTCAATAATATTTCTTACAGCTCTTTTGTTTTAAATCTAGGACCCAATTAGAGACCATATTTTTGTTTATTTGCCTTGGCTCTTTAATGTTTGCTAATGGAAAGTAACTCCTAGGTCATTGTTTATCTTTCATATTTAATGGTTTAGTTTTGGCGAATGGTCATCATTCTGATAGGGTTTGTTGATTTATTTGCACCAAGCAAGAGCAACTCATCAGATCTATGCCCAGAAGACTCAGAGGCTTTGTATTAATCTTTACTGTCACTTGTGTGTTGCTGACATTTCAGGTAATCTCTAAGAGAATTGATGTAACTCTTCTCAGGGGAAGTTCAAGGACCTGGCTTGATGGCTAGAGGTAGAAGCCATGGGAGCATGCTCAGCCTGAGCTCTTTGGAGTCTTCCAAAGTCAGTCCTGTAGCTGGCATCATGGGATTTTGCCTACAGCACATTTCTCTCCATTCTATTTACTTGTGGGTGTATGACACAGAAGTTAAGTGCTCTGCAACCATTCTGCAATAAATTAGACCGTTAGCTGTATCCTTCATTAACATAAATGCTAATCTTGACAATAACCTTTGGAAAATTTTATATTATCCACCCCCCCAATTAAAACAGGGGTGTATTATAGTCCAGGCTGCCCCTGACTCATTCTAATCCTCCTATGTCAGCCTCTTGAGTGCTGGAATTACAAGTGTGAATTACCATGCTAGGCTTAACGGTCTTTATCTCATTAAACCTGTTTCTGTATTCATGTCACAATGGTCTTGTGATGGTTGAACGAAATAATGTGTAATGCACACTTACAGCTGTAAGCCACTAGAAGGGATGGATTTAAAGTGACA